GAGGCAGAGATGGTTTCTTGTAGATTTAATTATAAAGGCAGTAGTAGTATAAATCCAAAAATAATCAGACAAGGAATGGGGGAACCAGAGCAGAGTAAACGGGAGGGGACTGACAGGAATTGAGGAGGACATGAATTAAAGACGAAGATCCAGCAAGGATAAACTGTAGAGGAAGGGTATATATACACTTTGGAGTAGACTAACAGACTAACAGGACAAAGATTGGTGTAATGATCTGAGTGGGAACAGGGGTGGAGAGAAAGAACTAGAAGAGGAAGGTGATACTGGGGGGAAATGGAGAATAACTGGGAAACATAACCTAAAGATAACTGTAAACAATGAATGGCAAAATAGAATTAGAGCAAAGACAAAGGAATGTTGAAAAAGAGATAACTGAAAATCTACCAAACAGGAATAGTAAAAGTAGGATACAATACAAAGATATAATTTTTAACTTTAAATCCAAGCCTGGCTGAAAACCAGATCATAACACTATCACATTAAAAATCCAAATAAAATGCACTAAAAGTTGAGGTGGTTATACAAATGTTTATTACATTTATGTGCTATGATTACCTTCTACATACATGATGAATCTCAATCTAATAAAACTTAAGTCAAATTTTAATTTATTAACTGATTTTACACCATTTTATATATTTACAGTTTTGATATAATACACCGAATGTGTTTGTTTACATGAATAGTGTGCAGTGACGAACTCACCCACAAGTTTAAAGGCTACACTGTGATGACAGAAGACGAGCGCTATGACGCTCTCAGACACTGTCGTTATGTCGACGAGGTGGTGCGGGATGCTCCTTGGACACTTACACCAGAGTTCCTCCAGAAACACAAGGTCAGAATTCAACCATGGCAGGACATTTTATTGGTAGAAAAGATACTGAAACATGTGTTAATGTATGTAGCCTGAATACACCCTTCTTCCATCTATAGATCGACTTTGTGGCCCATGATGACATTCCTTACACATCTGCTGGGTCAGAGGACGTTTATAAGCACATAAAGGAAGCAGGTGAGGATCTACAGCATTCAGTGCAATCATTACTAACAATACGTTACTTTTACTGTTTTAAATGAATTTGAGGATTTGTTCATTCATATCAGGAATGTTTGTGGCCACCCAGAGGACTGAAGGCATCTCCACCTCTGATCTGATCACCAGGATCGTCCGAGACTATGACATCTATGTCCGGCGGAACCTGCAGAGAGGATACACAGCTCGAGAACTCAATGTTGGGTTTCTTAAGGTTAGAAAATCTTTCACTTCTGTATAAAAAAATCCACCATATAAAGATAAACTCAAAGTATTCTTTTCCGGTAGGAGAATAAGTATCGTCTCCAGAATCAGGTGGATAAGATGAAAGAGACGGTGCGAACAGTGGAGGAAAAGTCGAAGCATTTTGTGAACAAAGTGGAGGAGAAGAGCCAGGACCTCATCCACAAGTGGGAGGAGAAATCACGGGAATTCATTGGGAATTTCCTGGAGCTTTTCGGACCAGATAGAGCATGGGTACATATGCTGTGTTTTAACTAGTGTTTTTGGCCCAATACTTGGCTGTGCAGTATTAGCACATATCGATACCATCTGTTTAAAAATTGATGTGCATGTGTATATATGAAGAACTGCATAGTACTTGGATGTAAAATAATTGCCATCATGGCTTTGTCAAGCTGCTGCCTACCTTTGTAAAGCGGGAAAAAGACTAATACAAAATGAATCCAGTCCAGCCTGATACTGGTATTGGTATCGTTGGTATTGGTATCGGTGCAACACTAGTTTTAACCCAAAAATCAAATAAAGTGAGGGAGAAAACATCAGGTGAAATTAAAATGGAAACATATTTAGGCACATTTCTGGATTCTAAGATGAATATGGTTTAGTTGAAAATCCATGTTCTGACAGGTTAATCAGTCATATTGGGCTGTTGGAGAATATTTATTTTATCACCACAGAGCCTGCCATCAAGCTCCTTTTTATAAATCCAGATTAAAATGATTAAACTAATGCATAAAGTACAAAAATAACATGATACTATCTCTCTTTCCCTCTCTTTTTCAGCATGTTATCCAGGAGCGCAGTGGCCGCATGCTCCAGGCCCTGTCACCCTATTCATCGCCTCGTGGATCTCCCAGCAGCAGCCCTACCAGAAGACGTCCAGATTCACCCGAATCACTCTCACCCTCTGCCTCTCCTCCTTCCTCCCCATCCCCATCCCAAAAGAGGGCCCATTCTTCTGTTAAGGAGACGTCTGATTATTAGACACTATGCTGGTACTCAGCGTGTCTCATATGTGGAATGTGTACAGATTGACTCCTTTAATTTATTATGAGTGTGCTAAACTACAAATGAGGAAGGATGTTGTACATAATAAAGCAAAGTGAGAATACCATTTTTGTTTCATGGTATCTGTTTGCATTTTTACATGCATCTTTCACATTTTAAAATTCAATAAGCTATGCTAAATTTTACTAATAAAATTAATAGTTTTCAAACATTCTATATATAAATTATTTATTAGTAAATGTAACTTTTTTTTGCAATTCAACACTCTTTCTTTTTAACAGCTGAATCACTTTTGTTACTTAAACTTCAACCTACTCTAATTTGACTTTTTGCAGCAAAATACTGCTCCCTGCTGGCCATAAGGTAGAATGCAGCTTTTAAAATCGGACTGATCGTCGCACGTTTCTTTCATAAAAAAATTTAATGAATGTGGGAAAAAAAAAAAAAATGGGGGGGGGGGGGGGACATTTTTGCACCATGACAACTTCTAGACATTTTACATTTTTGGAATCACCACATTTCTTGCAGCAAAAATTGTTTAGGGCCCTAAAGATGTGTTGGTACAACAAGGATTGCTTGAGTTTTACTTCATAAATATGAAATTATATGAAAGCATTTCTGGTTTAAACTTAAATTGGTGAAAAAAAAAAAAAAAAAGGTCAGTGTAAACAGGTTTAAACAATTAAATGTTTTGGCATAGATTATTCAACAATGAAACTGAATGTGACTCTAACAGTTTCATACAGACACTTTACAAGTTTTAGAAAAATAAGGCTTTTTGTTACATATTTTGAATAGATTTTAAAATGCAAGTATAGGACTTAAATGCTAAATTATAGAGCTGGCAATTATTTGTTGTAATTTGATAAGCTAAATGATTGAAATGAGAAGGAACAACATATGTTAGAAATTTAACCAAGTACTTATTTAACAAACTTAGCCTCTGGCTAAATCTGGAATATTTACATGATGTATTCATGTAGATTATGTGTAAATACTGGTTGTATATATATATATATATATATATATATATATATATATATATATATATATATATATATATATATATATATATATATATATATATATATATATATATATATATATATATATATATATACATATATATATATTTATATATATATATATATATCTCCCCTGTATCCTTTGGTTATGTGTTTTTATTTTCTGAGGTTGGCCTTGACAACAGCCAATCAAACTACCATTAACAATTTGCTTAGCTTACTCAGACATGTTTTACATTTTAAAATATTGATTAATGTCCAATGTCCCTTGTCAAATAGATAAGCAAATAAAGGAATATATAACTACTATTGGGTTGAGTTGGTCATTCTGAATCGAACAGCCTTCCTAATGCTACGTTCACACTTAGCGAGCTTTGGGCAACAAAAAAGCGCCTGCTGCTTCATTTTTGAAGCTGGTAGACATTAAGGTCAGATGCACCTCAAGTGCATCAAACAAAAAACAAAACTTAAATGTTGTAACTGTAAATATACAGCCATATGTTTATATTACTGTTTTTATGTATTTTTTTTTACTGTTTTCAAAGCTGCACGTTTAAAAAAATGAAATTGTCTAGAGAGCTGTTCTCAATGAAATTCCTTTTTGTTTACACTTGTGTGTACAAAATGACAAAATTAATCTGTCTAAGTCTCTAAGTCTAAGTCTTTGTCTAAGTCTAAGTATACCTTTAAAACATAGATTTATAAGGCCAGGACTTGATTATTTGAAACATTGTAACATTTTAACATTTTAACGCATAAATAAAAGCATGTATGAAATTTTAGTCCCAAACGGGAACCTTTGTTCTCCCTGTTTCATGTACACCTGTAAATCTAACACACAAGCTGTATCACAGACCTTTTGTCCACTGGGGATATTCAAGCTCAAACCGAAAACCTCAAGTCCGGATGGACAGCTAAGCATCGGCAGAAGTGCGTCCTCTGTAACCATAAGTGCTGTCCGAATAGTGCTGGCTGGTAGGAAGGAACTAGGACCAGGAACATAGATTATTTGTGTATGTAACTATTTTATTGACAAAAGCAATTATTTTAATTGCACTAAAGGCTCCATATTGAACAACATTTTTAATGCTTTATGCAGAGCTGAACTGTCATAGTTCTGTCAGTATAAGAAATTAAGCTTTATGTTCAGTTTATAGAAAATATTGTATACATTTTTTTTTACCATATTTATTGTAAAGAATTGTATAATAATTAATGCTCATGTACTGTTTACAATTCGATAGCCTACAAATAATTTATGGGTTTTCAAAGTAAATTTTTAACCATTCAACCAATCAGATTGAGAACCTAAATAGCTGGATTAAAACCAATAAATATAGATATTGTTCTGATCAATTTATTCAATTACTGAGGAAAAGGATGTTTTTGAAATGAAAAGTTATTTTTAGGTGATATATGGGCTTCAATTGAAATGCGATTAATTGTGATTAATTAATTAAAGACCCTGTAATTAACTACATTAAAATTTTTAATTGCGTCCCACCACAAATGTGCTTCTGCACCGTCTTGATTGTTAAGGCTATGAGGGAGTGATACATCTTGAACTTGTTGTCTCTTTGATTTTATGTCGGAGTGAACTATCTTACTATTATTGCATCTTTGAACAGCGCTTATAAATTCTTGGCTGTGACGTCACCCCCAGGTAGACGGATTAAAGATGGCCCCCTCTCATGCGCTGAGGTGCTGTAAACGGGCTCTGAACTGGATACCTGTCCTGTTTATTAACCTGGTTGTCGCCTGGTCTTATTACGCCTATGTGGTGGAGCTCTGTGTGTGTAAGTACGCTACTTGTTAATGAGTGTTTCACCGCGTCCGGGCTGCATATATGCGGATGTCTGACTAATTCAGGGGATTTCAACTTTAATAAGCGGGTTGAAGTGAGGTTTAAAACCAGCCGCTAAAGGACCAGGGCAGGGAGACAATACCGCACGGATTTTATATGTTTGAACAACTAAATAGCTCGAAAATATGCATCTGATGATAACAGAAACCGGTTTAACATCGGTGTAACTGTTACATTTGCATCTAAGGAGTTGGATCCCTTTAAAATTTTTATATAATTTTACATAATCATTGAATTTTCTTTTTAAATATTTTTGGAATAGTTCTCTTTACTATTTAAATGATAATTCTACACAAAAAAATAAATAAATCATATGGCAGAAGCCAGGCAAGTTTTTTTCTTTAACAGATTAATTGGGGAAAAAATAAATAAATAAATAAATAAATATAAATATATATATAAACACACACACGCAAAATGTAGTTTTATAAATACAATACATTTTTCTTGTCATCTACATACTGTGATGTTTTCTGTATACGAAAATTGTTCACCCTCTAAGATTATATAAATTAATTGTTTGTATAATCAAACAGTTTTCTTTATTTTTCAAATGTACCCTGGATCCATTTTTGTGTGTGTATTTTATGGTGTTCTATATTGTTTGCTCCAGTATCTCTGTTTTTTTATTTTAAATTTTTATGCTTTCTTGATGTTTTACCATACTATTAATACAATCTATGGTTATGCATCTATTAGCGTAGATCTAACAGCTGTGGTCAGATCGGGCCATCCATGGTCCTCAGACAAAGCGCCCTGTTATGGGTGGCCCACTGCTGCCCGTGCCAGGCTGCAGCCGCATGGCGCAAGAGAGGAGGCTGTGTCTCTGTCTGAAATGTATTCATACATTTCCAATAGCATCCATTCACACTCAATGACCTTATATACATATATATTTATTTTCCTTTCCCCATATAGATACAATCCCAAATGATGCGGAACGAAGTAAGTGCCTGTTAACACACCACCTCACTAATCCATTGTTTGTTTATTAAGTCTAACTGAAAGTTTGATTTTAGCAAAATTATGTAAGAATGCCTGAATAACCAAAATAAAACATCTTCTTTCCCTCAACAGTCAGCTATTTGGTCATCTTTCATATTTTCTTTGCCATGTTCATATGGTCCTACTGGAAAACGATCTGGTCCAAACCTGCCAGTCCTTCAATAGCAGTAAGCAAGCGATGCTTCTTCCTGTAAAGATATATATATATATATATATAAAAAACAACTTCAAAATTCTTTTTAGATTATTTGACAAGTAAAAAATATAATAATTGCCAGAGAATACACTAAGTGGTAACTCATCCCCTAAGTGTTTTCAAATAAATATCTGAAAAGTGTGGCATGTCTTTGCATTTTGCTGTCCATCTCTGTTTAATTCAAACCAATTACTAATCCCTGGCTTCCTTACATGTTGCTCTCCATTGTTTACTTTCCTGATTTCTGTCGCACCGACTTGCCAGCCAGGGGTTAGACCCAGCTTTTTTGCCAGTGGGAAGGAAGCTAAATGCCGATTCTTAGCTTATCGCCCCATTTTATTGTATCAGCCAAATTATTATAGTGTAGTTTCAGTGGGAAAAAGGCTTTGGAGCACTGTTTAATTCATCATCTAGACACAAACCACCATGACATGGTTTATCACCAAAACTAAGAGTATTGCCTGAGGGAGCAAAAGGTCAAGTGGAATAATCTGTTGATCGGGGAAGTTTCTTTTGGCCGCAACACATCTGAATTTTCTAGGAAGAATAACAAGGAAAAATAAAGGCCCTCAATGGAAGAAGGTTTTCTAGGCAAATTACAAAAAAGTAGAACTTATTGTTTGGCTATAGTTGTATGGATCAATGTTTTTATAAATAAACTCTCCACCTAACACAACAACAATTAAATCCTAATTCCTGACCAGAAGGCCTTTTTTGTTCTGGAGTTTCTGTAAATGTATTGACTCAGTGGTACTGAATACAAACTCATGTCACGCTTTTAAGATGTCTATTTGTGACATTTGAAAAGGGGTTTGAATATTTTTTATTTTTTTGCAAATCACAAAGTGCTGGTCGCTCTCTGACTCCTGCCTTGTTTGCCCGTTAGTTTGCCCTGCCGCAAGCAGAGAAGGATCTGTACGAGAAGGAGCAACGAGCCGAAGTTCAGCAAGAGATCCTGAAGAAAGCGGCCAGAAATGTACCTGTGTACACACGCACAGCTGGAGGAGGTGAAGCTTTAATCTCTGTTTGTGCTGAGAGAAAAACCCTCCTGCTGAATAACTGTATTCTAAATGGAGGAAGAGATCAGTTCCTCAGATACACCACATTATATATAATTAATAGAAAGGAAACCTCATGTATCAGTTGCTACATTTTGTCTTCCTGTTTACAGCATGAGTGCAGATCATGCTGACTGTGAGATGTTCCTTTTTTTTTACTGACTACTAAACTGGTCTTTCTTTTGTTTACGGAAATGTAGGAGGGTTAATTAGACTCCAGTACACCTTGTTTTCTCAGTGGAATTAAACCTAACTCAGGGGCCCTGCCTCCTATGGAGCTATACTACACAATTAAAAAAAAATATACAAAAGAGATGAGTAGCTTTAGAAATTCTTTAAATTATTAATATCTAATTAAATGCTTCAATCAGGTTCTTTTCTGTACACTAGGACTAGGTATGGGCTGGTATGAAATTCTGAAGGTGTTAAAACCTTTAGCAAAAATATGTTATTAAAGTTACATGTTTAATTTGAAATGTCTGAATTAAAAAAAAAGAAAAAGAAGAAAATCCAAATGCTTGCTAAGTTGTGGGCTGATCTTCAACATAATCTCTATCATAGTGGGCTTTAACTGTCAGTGGTAGCTATTAATAGATCACAGGTGTCATGCTGTTATTTTACGCATGACACCTTATTTTTCGTAGGCTTCCACTCCCTTTGCAGTGTGCGATTTCTGCCTCATAATGCAAATAGATTATACAGCAAAGGGACTTATTATTATCGGTTGTTTTTATTTTGGTTTTAGTTCTCAAGTGGGGTTTAACATGGATATTGTATGTTAACAATTGTTACATGCACAGAGAGCTAATAGAAATTACAAGTATGAACTAATGAACACATAATCCACAACTACAGCTATGGAGACCTTCAGTACTATTGCCTTTCACTCATAACTAATCAAATACACAATCAATCGACTAAAGTTGTGACCAGCCCTATTATCAAGCCATCTGCCTCAGTAACACAGTGGTTTAGTTTTAGACTAATGCCTGATGCTAAAGGTAGATTGCTCATTTCAAAATAACAAACTCTAGAATGGTGTTAGCAAATAACATTAAGTGATACTACTACAGATGTATCCCCTTCTCTGCCTGTCACTGTCCCAAAGCACATCTTGCTGGTAGGGGGTCCTTCTTCCTCCAAACCATTGCCATCCATTTTCTTGGGGTAACCAAAGTATTTCCATATAGCTAGGGCTGCAACTAACAATACTTTTGCTAAGCGATTAATCTGTCGCTTATTTTTTTGATTAATTGATTAATAATCGGACAGTAAAAAGTTCCTTGAACTTGAAAAGTTCCTTGAATATACCTTGTATATTTGTTTAGCAAATTTGGTATATTACAATACAATATAATAAAATTTCTGTAAACCTATATCCTCCCAGCAGCTGTAAGACTTTATAACCATCACTGTTCCCAACAACCTCAATAAGTTGTTAGATTGACGCTGATTTTTGCAGTTTCTTAGTCAGTTAAATAATTTGCTGCTATCATTGCACGTTTTTGTTGCACAACTCTGGTGTTGCTACTATTTGTCACATATACATTACAGTAAAAATGTCTGTAACTGTTATTGATTTTTTTTTTTATTCTTCAGTTACAGAGTAATATATTGTAAAACACTGTACAGTACAATACTATGTTTTAACTTTCATATTTGTTATTTTTATGCACTTTCTATGGTGCACCGTGTGTGGCTGCTTCTACTATAACCTTTGCTGTTATAAACAGCACAGTTTCCCCATTGTGGGAAAATAAAGTATTTTCTCTTCTATAATTACTGCTCTAAGTGGGTTGCTCTGTCAGTTAAAGGTGTATTTTGCAGTCTCTATACTGCTGTTAACAATTGATTGGTAAATTAGTTTTTTTTTTTAAGATTTGGGAGGGATTCTGGATGCTTTCCTCCTTGAGTCTTTATACTACCTGCAGAGCAGAGCCAGCGACTAGGGGTATATGATGCTGCAGCAGCTGCTACACACGCCCTCTGGGATCTGTTCACTTTTTCTCTGCTGGTTTTAGATTTTATATAACGCTGAAACTGCAGGTACATTATAATCGAACACTTTAGAAGTTCAAACTTTTTTCATACTGTAAAACTGTTAAGATGCCTATACCTACTCAGGACTTATAATTTTGCTTTTTCATCATGCTACCGGTAATTATTATCCTGCTTGCATTTCTCTCCACAGCCATCAGATACTGTGATTTCTGTCAAGTAATCAAACCTGATCGCTGTCATCACTGCTCAACATGTGAAATGTAAGTTCCCTCCCTTGATTAAATACTCTTTGTGAAGGGTTGTTTTTAAACGATATTAAGAAGTGTCTATAAAGTTTTTGTATTCTTTTTTTTTTATTAAGAGAGCTTTATCTGTTCATTTAAGGTTCCTACAAATTACACATTTTAATCATTGGGAAACTTTATGCCTTTTACGTTTGGATGGACTAGGTATCCCACTCTATTTCTGTTGGCTTATGAGGTTATTTTCATCCTAATTGATCATTAGGTTGGTTGCTCTTTGAACTTTCTTGCCATAGCACCTCTGGATCAGCTTAATTTCTTTTCTTTTTGTAATTTCGTACATTTCTATAACACCTATTGCTATGGCTTCTGTACTTTCTTCCTTATGTTCATCTCTACATGTAAACAACAAAAGAAGGGAATTTTTTTTCCACACTGTTCAATGATTGTTAACAAACTACTTGATCATCTGATTTTGTTTGCATTTTTATCCTGTTGACTTTTTTCTAAGCAAACAGATTATTCTATTCTAGTTTGAGAACAGCCCATTACCGCCAATTGTGGTTCTGATCATTGTTTGGACTAGCTGACTCATAAATATGAACAACTGTGACCTTTGATCAAACAAAGTGGTTATGAGTCAGCTGCTACTGGATATTATCTGCTGGGATTCACATGACCACATCTATAGATAGTACATCATAGAAATGTACTTTATATTAATAAAACTGTCACAGCGAGCTTCATGTACCAGAGGATGTATGGAAAAACTAAATAAAACAAATTACTGTTAGAATCTTTAGTTTCTTTAATTATAATTATTTTACACCCTATATATATATATATATATATATATATATATATATATATATATATATATATATATATATATATATATACACACACAATATATGATATATGACTAGAGCAAAAGCTTCAGTAGGATTTATTTCAGATAAAAAAAATGTTATGTATGTACCGTATTTTCCAGACTGTGAGCCTCTACTTTTTCCCCACGCTTTAAACAATTCGGTTCATAAGAAGGTGCGGCTTTGTTGTGGATTTTTTTTAACCCCCAGAGCGGGAAGTCAAAGCTGGAAATGAAATAATAATGGGCTAATTTCCATTTGGCATGAGAATATGCTAGCAGCAGCCATGACGGAAACAAATGTCCCGAATTCCCACATTTAGCCATTTATTTGTTGCATTAAAATTGCCGAAATAATGAGGAAATTTGGCTAAACTCCTGCAGAGCTGAAATAGAGCCAGCGAAGCCCCATCTTTCAGTAGAAGCTCTTACTGCTGCTAGCAAACAAGCTAACGGGAGCTAGCATTCATTCGTCCCTACTCCAGGGGCGATATGCAGAGCTACCCCTACAGATTTGGTGGGAGACAGTTCAGTGGATATCAGCGGCATATTGCACGATGCTGCTTATATATGTACACTTTCAGTTTTTTCAAAAAAACTTTCTGGGCGCAGCTTATAGTAAGGTGCACTTTGTAGCCCAGAAAATAAGGTATTTTTTAAATATATTATTCTTAAATCAATTTAATTTCTCTTGTTTCCATTTGTCAAGGTGTGTGCTGAAAATGGACCATCATTGCCCTTGGTGAGATTTTGAAAATTGATGCATAACGCATTAAAGGGGTCACAGAATGCAAAACCAAGTTTACATTGTCTTAGATTAATAACAATAGTAGAATAGAAGTTCAAACCCCATCGACACCTCCTTTCTCTGCAAAACTCACAATTCCGAACTTCCACCATAAATCGGGCGAATCCAAATGAAGGCCCGAGTTGATGTAAACCCGAATATGAATAGAGATTGTGAAGATGTAAGGCACTAGTTTAGCCTACAGTTGGGTTTACTTCTACAAGAATTACAAAGCAGGCAGTTACTCTATTGAAAATGAGCCAGAACCATGGCCATAAATGCAGTGTTCCAGGCTGCTCGGAGAAAGGGGACATTTTCACAGTCTTCCCAAGGATCCGAAGACTCAACAGGCATGGATTTTTTTGTCTATCAGAAGGTCTCTGCAAAGTTTGATGCTCAGCTGTTCATTTGCTCTAAGCATTTTACAGAAGACAGCTTATGTCTAGGGTGACCAGCTGAGGACGGAGCGACCAAACCAGACCCAGTGACTGTATGCTGTAGGCCGCCAGTGTCCAGGCTACTGTCACCGGGTCGGGTTCGGTTGCTCCGCTCCCCGCTGGCTCCCTGCCCCCGTCCGCTGGGGTTCCTAGTCCAGCCCCAAGGCTTACGGTTTGGTTTGAGTGCCCGGTGTGTTTCGACTACGTGCTGCACTGTAGTCGACCAAAGTCCCGGATGATTTTGGAATTCCCCCCGGACATTTTTTTTAGGTATGAAAAGTAGGACATATCTGGGGAAAAAGGGGATGTCTTGTCACCCTACCATATCAACAATTTCGATGTTTCAGTGAGTGAGTGCTAGTTGCTATGATGCGTCTTTGCTCAGCAGCTTCGCTCGTTGTAAACCATCCAATCAGAGCACAGCTCATCGAAATACTCATGAGCTTAGCATAAAAGGAAGAAAATCTGTCGTTTCATTTTAGGGCTTTTAACCAGGCTTGCATTAGGGCTCATTGAACAGCTAATATGCAATTTTTAGCCTAACCAACGTTACAAACCCTATTCAGAGACCTTAAGAACCAGCACCAAATACCCTATATAATCATTCTATGACCCCTTTAAGCAGATATATTTATTATGTTGGTTTTTAGATTCATTATTATGAAGCCGTATAATTTTGTAGTGAATGACACATCTTTCTTTAAACTACAATCCTATATTGTCAGGTTTTCTCTATTCTTTGTCTCTGAATTTGTTTATCAGGGTGAATAACTGTGTTGGGTTTTCAAACTACAAGTTCTTCATTCTATTCTTGGCCTATGCAACGCTCTACTGTGTTGTCATTTGTGCGACCGTTGTGCAGTATTTCATCAAATTCTGGACGGTGAGTACAGAAACTTCCTCTGATGTGTATGTTTTGTAATTCACCTCTGTAAAAGTGTCAAACAGATGAATTGCTCTTTTGAGGTTATTAAGTCTAAAAACATAAAAGTGTAGCAGTTTGTTGTTTTTTTTTCACTTCAAGGATTTTCTAGAAACTCTTAAATATGACTACAGAAATCTAAAACATTAAAATTTTATGCAGAAGGGATGTTTCTCAGTGTTTTTAATTAAAATTTTTTTCTTTCTGTTTTTAGAAAGAACTTCCTGACACACACGCGAAATTCCACATCTTGTTTCTATTTTTTGTTGCGGCACTCTTCTTCATTAGCATAGTATCACTTTATAGCTACCATATGTGGCTTGTGGGGAAGAACAGAACCACTATAGGTAAATATAAATCTGTTTAATATGACAGTTTTTTGTTCTTTAAAAATTGATTGCTAACTTAAGTTAAATCTTTAAATTTTTTCAGAGGCATTTAGAGCTCCTGTTTTTGCAAATGGTCCAGACAAAAATGGCTTCTCTCTTGGCTTTAAACGAAATGTAGCTGAGGTGTTTGGAGAACAGGCAAAGTACTGGATTTTCCCTGTTTTCTCAAGGTGAGTCTCAAGATATTTCATGATCCCTTATGAATTGTTCCTTTTAAAACAGTCGGGCCGTTTCTCGTTTTGTGTACTTCTGTGTTCTCATGTGCTTGTGCGCCCGTGAAATGTCATCAGCCCCAGCACTTTTCCAGTTCACAAGAACACAAGACCAAGAATGGAAAAAGTCCCTGGATATTGTTCTTGTCCACCCTTAACTAAAAATATCAACATATTCAGTGAATGCACAACACTGCCCTCACTGAATTGAAAAAAAAGTAATGGTGTATTATTATCTAGAAACAATAACAGGAGAGACAAGCTTTGAATGTGGTGACATTGCAAGTACGTTTCTGTTTCAATTAACCCAGATTTATCTCTTGTTTTCCCTGAGTCCATACTTTCCTGTGATCTTGGCTAGAACGTGAGGCCATACTCATTCTTGTGAACTGAGAAACAGCCTTAGGCTTAAAATTAGCAAAGCACAGATATTGATATTACTGTTATGGCTGATGATGGATATTTCCTGATTCATAGAGTTTTGTTTATTTTCATGACTATGAAAATTGAAGATTCACAATGAAGGCGTTAAAACTATGAATTAACACGTGGAATTATATATTAAACAAAAAAGTGTGAAACAACTGAAAATATGTCTTATATTCTAGGTTCTTCAAAGTAGCCACCTTTAGCTTTGATTACTGCAGTAGATAATGCTCTTTGAACTTGCTTCACACACTCTTGGCATTCTCTTGATTAGTGTCACCTTCTTCCAACAGTCTTTAAGGAGTTCCCAGAGATGCTTGGCACTTGTTGGCCCCTTTGTCTTCACTCTGCGATCACTCTCTTTCTTGGTCAAATAGCCCTTGGGTCATTGTCCTGTTGAAAAATGATGGTCTAACTAAACACAAACCGGATGGAATAGCATGTCGCTGCAAGATGCTGTGGCAGCCATGCTGGTTCAGTATGCCTTCAATTTTGAATAAATCCCGAACCTTGTCACCAGCAAAGCACCCCAACACCATCATACCTCCTCCTCCATGTTTCACCATGGGAACCAGGCATGTAGAGTCCATCGATTAATCTTTTTGTGCATTGCACAAAAACACAATGGTTGGAACCAAAGATCTTAAATTTGAACTCATCAGACCAAAGCACAGATTTCCACTGGTCTAATGTCAATACCTTGTGTTCAAGTCTCTTCTGCTTGTTGCCTGTCCTTAGCAGTGGTTTCCTAGCAGTTATTTTACCATGAAGGTCTGATTCACACAGTCTCCTCTTAACAGTTGTTATAGAGATGTATCTGCTGGTAGAACTCTGTGTGGCATTGACCTGGTCTCTAATCTGAGCTGCTGTTAACCTGCGATTTCTGAGGCTGGTGACTCGGATGAACTTATCCTCCGCAGCAGAGGTGACTCTTGGTCTTCCTTTCTTGGGGCGGTCCTTATGTGAGCCAGTTTCTTTGTAGCCCTTGAAGGTTTTTGCGACTACAATTGGAGACACTTTTAAAGTTTTGCCAATTATTCGGACTGACTGAACTTCATTTCTTAAAGTAATGATGGTCACTCATTTTTCTTTACTTAGCTGCATTTTACTTGCCATAATACAAATTCTAACAGTCTATTCAGTAGGACTATCGGCTGTGTATCCACCGGATTTCTGCACAACACAACTGATAGTCCCAACCCCATTTATAAGGCAAGAAATCCCATTAAGCCTTAAACTTATTAAACCTGATGGGACATCTGTGAAGTGAAAACCATTTCAGTGACTACTTCTTGAAGCTCAACAAGAGAATGCCAAGAGTGTGCAAAGCTGTAATTAAAGCAAAAAAGTGGCTACTTTGAAGAATCTAGAATATTAGACATATTTTCAGTTGTTTTACACTTTTTTTTTAAGTATATAATTCCACGTGTTAATTCATAGTTTTGATGCCTTCAGTGTGAATCTGCAATTTTTATAGTCAAGAAAATAAAGAAAACTCTTTGAATGAGAGTGCGTTCAAAATTTTGTTCTGTGCTGTACCTTCGTAGAACAACGGCAACAGAAATGGCAACTACAAATCTGGACTGATGCGCGCTCAGTAAAGAGGAAGGGGCGAGAACAACATTCAGGATTTTGTTCCTTTTCTGTCTTGTGTGCTTGTCTGTTGAAGCAGTGCTGGGGCTGAGCTTGATGATGTTCAAGAGCACATGAGAACTCAGGAGTACGCATAATGAGAAACGTCCTAAGTTTCTTTTTGGGAGAAGTAACTGTAATTAGTTATTTGACTGTTTCTAACGCTGCACAGGACCAAAGTAATACCATATGACTGACCCCCTCCTGAAACGAAAACCACTACCAAATCGAAAAAAAATAAGTGATTTGCAGACATTTAAAAAAAAGCGGTGTGTCCAATCAGAAATATTTGTTTTCATCAACTTGATGTTGTAGCTTGAAATATTTTAAACTCAAGCGAGTAAAACATTGAAATAGTGAAAACCCAATTTTGCAGTCATTCATTCAGGTCTTCATTTAACAAAAAAAAAATTGCTTTGAATTTGAATGAACTTATTAAAATCTAAATTACTGAAATATGTCAAAGTCTTGTTCAGACTGCTGAATAACATTTCTATAAAATTGAAGCGATTATAAATGAACTAGCATGCTCATCAGTATTGTTTTAATATTCTTCAGTCAAGGAGATGGACATTCCTTTGTCACCAGGCTGGTTCACATAGACCCTGAACAAGCAAACAGCATCCTCCAGCAGAACGTAAAATTGTCTGTATTTTATTTTTTTCTATGTATTGTTTTTTTTAAGAGACACGCATTTTGTGTCTCTTTTATCATGCTAATCACTTTTGTAAATTAACTCACAGCCCCGTGGATGGAGAGACAAACCTTTGTGTGGTGCCTGATGATGAGCTTCACGCAGAGGATAACTGCAAGAACAAATCTGGTAGGCTTCTCACATTCTGAGTTTGTGTTCCATTCAGTTACATTTGTTTTTTGTAAAGATTTTACTTAGCTACTGGTTACTTATGCGGTTTAAATGATAAATTACAATGGGTGAAGGGTGCAAACACTGCCAATACATATCATAGCAAATTCAAAAGTCGTGTAAACAAATAAGGCTATCAAATACAAACATTAAACTTAAATTACACATTCATAGAAAAAGGCTGCAAGTAGCTAAAAAAAAACTTCAAATTAAAAAACCTGCAAACTAGCTCACATTAGTTCTCCAGACCACTAGGGGGAGACGGTCATCAACACTTTTTGGGACAGACCATTAGTAAAGTAAATGCATAAAAGGAAGAAATATATATTTTTTCCCTTGTTATTGTTTGTAGAGATGAATTTCTACTAATGTCTATGTGTTGATTACTTTAATGGTAATGATTCCCCCCCACCCCAGTGGTCTGGCGCTCTTCCCTTATGTGAAGCTTGTTTGAAGCTTTTCCTTAACCCTCAGTTGGTTTTTTTTCTTTTTGCTAAATTTCTCGATTTGTTGTGTTTCTGTTTATGTTCAGCAGAGTATTTTGTTAGCAGTGTTTTATTTAATTTTTTTTATTACTCAAAATTTATTTATTTCCTTATATAGTAAGTATTCATCTTGTAACATACATTATGTTACTACACGTTAAAGTGTATTTTTAACACTACAATAGCTCTTTTTTCTGCCTTCATTTATTATTTTAAATTGTTAGTCACATAGATAACCAACACCACTCTTAGTTTTAATTTTTATCAAAAAGAAAATGATTCAGCCTTGTCCTCATTTAGTTTTCTCGCACAGGTGATAGAATCTAGAAGACTACTCAATTCAATTCAATTCAATTCAGTTTATTTATATAGCGCCAAATTCACAACACATGTCATCTCAAGGCACTTTACAGTTCAACCAGATCAAATTGATACAAAGTTTTCTATCTAAGGAAAACCAGTTGATTGCATTGACTCATTGACTCAAATACAATCCCCCACACTAAGCATGCTTGTAGCGACAGTGGAGAGGAAAAACTCCCTTTTAACAGGAAGAAACCTCCAGCAGAACCAGGCTCAGTGTGAGCGGCCATCTGCCGAGGCCGACTGGGGTTCAAGGAGACAGAAGCAGAGATACAAAAAGCAGCTGTAAAAGGCGGCCCCGTCCAGGAAACACACAGCCAGGCAGACGAGCTCCAAGGCAGCTCCCATGCCAGAGGACGAAGAAAGCACATCCACTCAGTCACGGTCAGAGAAACAGGACCACACTGGAAAAACAGGCCGATACTCAAGATCTGATTTGATTAAGGGCTGCGCAACATTGCCCCCCCGTGATTATAGTTTTTGAATGCATTTGATTTGCATTTATTCTAATAAAACTTTTTACTTTCTTAATATGTGTTTTACTTTGATGCTCTGGCACTGTTTGGTAGAAAAGGGACTTTTTTTTTTCTAGTGTGGAGACTGGAATTCTTTTCAGGCATCTAAAAGTTCCCTCTAAGTCAGAGAGAAATGTTGCAAACGGTTGTTGCAGCATTTTAGTTCAGAAGTCAGCCATCAGATCCACTTAGCCTTTGATCAGTGTGCAAATTCTGGTCCTTAACATGTGGTGTTCCATGATGGGGCCTTCTCACTGTTTCTAGCCTGAGATCATCCCTGAAAGAGACAATCTCTTTGAGTTATTATCTCCTCCTCAAGCCCCGAGGGGGACAGGGTCACATGCTCTTTTAGGAGTGTCTTGTGAAAAAATAGTAGAGAGGGGATTTTGCGGATATTGGAGAGGTGATGCAGATAAAACTGTATCTTCTTCATGATGAATGATCACGCCAATATCAGCATGGACATTGGCCCTCAATGTCCAAAATTAGTATAATTGCTTTGTGGCCCAACACTGGATTATTAATCATCAACTACAAAGGAAAGATTGTCTCCATTTGTACAAGTTGTTTACTCAAATGGAAAACCTAATAATCTCCGTCACAGGGTACTTTAAAAAAACAAAAAAAAACAAGTAAAATGAAGAGGAATACATACGTCCTTGGGATAATCTATGATAATATTTGGTTTATTAACTCCACTTAATTTTTGCGTTGGAAAAAGCCCACTGGATCCGCAGCACAGAGGATGTAATATAATATAGATATGCAGTAGTACCAGTCTTTGGTAATATTTGAGTCGATAAAGTTTTACTTAATCTAAAATGAACGAATATCAATAAAGATTTGATGTAACAGGATTGAAATTTAATTAAAACCAAATGATAATGTGAGGATGAGAGGCTTCTGCTGTAAAGCTACTGGTCATCCACCAGGCAAGACAGGAGGGTGGAGGGTGAATAGGGAACCGGCTAACAACAGCTAACCAACAGGCCAAAAACACACTGTTGCAAGCCAAGCTGACTCTTGTAAGCTAGCAGCGGATGCTAACCAACAGGCCGTAGATCACAAGATGACGGGTCACCGCAGAATTCTTTAATAAAAATTCCTTTTACTCATAAACTACCTGCACTACTCAGGACTGCTGACTGACAGGCGCTTGCGACTCACAATGGGACTGAGTTGGCGGAACCAAACCACTTTAAAAATGGACTTGAGAAGAACACAGGAGGAGCTGAAGGAGGGAGAAAAAAGAAAACGCAAAGCAAGACACAACTTGGTGGCGAAAGTGGAAGTCCTTAACATTAAAGAGGCCCTACGGATACTGCAGCCTGTGGCCAAATAACAGGACTGTTGCACTTTTCTGCTCATTCTCGTAGCTTGCGCTAGTGCCTGAGTTGAGCAAAATGCCAATCGTTTCTGAGGATCCAGAAAATCCATCTCGAGTATAACTCTTTGATTGTTTGCTAGGTTGGAACCTTTAACAAAAACGGCACCGGAACTTTCGACCCAAAGTAAATTTAGGATAATAGGCTACAGGCTTATAGATGCATTGGCACTGAACTACTAAGGTATAAGTCTACCCATCTAACAATATTTTAGTCATAAGAGGTCAAATAAAAGGGCTATTTTAAAGATGCATTTCGGCAACAACATAAATAATGTCTGTTTAAGACCAATTAAATAAAATATTTGTCACGTCCTACAATTGCACAACGTAAGACATCAACATAATAGTTTCAAAGAACTTTTGGATAAACCAATCAGCAAAAAAAAAAACTAGTGACAGATAAAAGCAACAGGTGAAGTTAAGATTTTGGGTCAAAGCTTTCTTCAAAGATTGGGATGTAGCCACCTTACCAGCAAAGTAAGACTGCAGCTCTGGAGTTTCCACCACGTGGACCATGATGTCCAGCTGGGATGTTGGAGAATCTCCTTTCTAGACTGGAAGTCAGATGGAAGAGCAGAGTAACTGGCTTGCAGTTGGTTTTAAAATAACTGAACCATGATGTGATGTTAGAAGGATGAGCTGCAGTTAAAATTTTGCTGTTATTCAATTCCTCAACACCCCTTTTAAACTCTTTGGTAAAAAGAAGCTAATAACAGAAACCTGGAATAAAAAAAATATGATCTATCTTTGATTGATATGATTGGTATCAGAACTCTAGCTGGAGTTTTTTGATCAGCTGAAGGCTTTAAACTTCATGTGAATTCCTGATGGAACAATTAACTAGAATAACCAGCGCTCGAAGTAATATAGGAAGTCTAGATTATATGATGGTCACAACTTTTGAGGGATACATTTTTTTTTCTTTTGACAATCAGTATAGTTGAACAGGGATAGAAAGGTGGTCTTTATTATTATTATTATTATTTTTTTTTTTACAAATTAACTTATTTCTAAAAGTTTAACCAGTTTCAGTTTTGTTACAAGCAATGAAACATAACATTGATCTAGATACTGATTTCACACTAAACCTTTAAAATACTTTTAACCGTGACAGAGTCCAGTTTCTGAACTGATCAGGCCAGTATCAATCCATCCTGGACCCTTAGGTCAGAGAACAAAAACATTACCTGATCAAATTTCCTGTTATGTTTGTTGTTGGATGATCGGCTTTTGATCCTGGCCAAAAAATTTACTCCTTTTTTTTTTTTTTTTTTTGTCTTGATCAGCTCATTACACAAATATGCTGCCTCTGAAACCATTCTTTTCGTCTGCATAACAATTGGCCTGGTCTAAAAATCTTTAAGTGAAAGCGAACTTTTCAAAATCCCTGAAAAAACTTATCCTTGTGTGAATGCTGCAAGGATGATAATCTTCTTAACTGCAACACTTCAACAGAAATACCTTGACTCTTTTAATTACATTTTCTTGGTTTGTGACTTAAGTCATATCAAGCAGCTATTAACTGTACATTTTGAAGTGAGAAAAAAAAATTAAGGTTTTTTAATAAAAATAAAGTTCTTTTTCATCAATATTATGACAGAATTCCCAATCGTATATAGTGAAACTTTAATCTTATAGCCAAAATTTATTAAACACAATGGGACCACAAATGGAGCCCTGGGGAACAGTCTTTAGAAATGTCTGAGTGGTTTAAAAATGTTTTCTTCTCTTTATGTTATTTAATAATGTCATTTCAGATGGAGGCCAGATGGTTACCGTGACCATGGACACTGAGCCTTAGAAGGTATGTTAACTTTTTTTTATTTTTATTTTTTTATACAACATGATATCTCTTCTAACTCGTATCATGTATGTTCTGCTACACCCCCACCCAAGGTCACGCACGCAGCCCTGTATAGATTATCAGCTGAACTGCCTTAAACAAGGAGCATCAATACCTCCAAGACCATCCGTGGCATCAAAAAAAGAAATACTGTTGTGATGGCAACGAATGCTTTAAAGCAACTTTGTAGACTGCAACAGTCTGAAGCTGAGGAGATTTGTCTTTGTATCTACTAAATACTTTATTTTATATTAATTTTATAATCTAAAACCAATCTCTGAGAGCCAGCTTGTGTTTTTACCAACTCTCTGAATATTATAACCATTTAATCCATTTCTTAAAGGAGAAGTTCGGTTTTTTACACTTTAAGCCCATTTTCTGTAGTGTCCAGGATGAAATCGAATGATCGACACCAAAAGTTTGACAATTGCTCCTGTCTCTGCTTTTTGGCTCATTTAGAATCACCCCCTGGCTGCTTTAGAATGGCTAGCATAGAGCATGTCCGATAATGTCCTTAAAACAACCTTAAACGTTCTTTTTTTTAAATATGCTACTCACCGTGTCGTCAGCGCTGTTCAATGACGTCGAGAATCAAGAATCCACCTTTCGTATTCCATTTTCAGAGTTTTTTAAAGTGTTTAACAGAGACGTTAGCACCTCGACGTCGGAGTACACAGAGTGAAGCGAAAAGACTACAACTGTGTAAACAGGCCCCATTTCCGTTTCCGGTGGCAGCGGAATATTGACTATTCCTACAGAACTCAATGGGATTTACACAATGCTAAATAAAACACTACAGGAACGTTTTTTCTTCACAAAACTTTTTTTGGAACGTCATTGAACAGCACTGACGACACGGTGAGTAGCATATTTAAAAAAAAGAACGTTTAAGGTTGTTTTAAGGACATTATCGGACATGCTCTATGCTAGCCATTCTAAAGCAGCCAGGGGGGGATTCTAAATGAGCCAAAAAGCAGAGACAGGAGCAATTGTCAAACTTTTGGTGTCGATCATTCGATTTCATCCTGGACACTACAGAAAATGGGCTTAAAGTGTAAAAAACCGAACTTCTCCTTTAAGACATTCGTCCTCTTTCAGTATTCGCTAAATCTTTAGGGGCTTTTTGTAGAGCATCTAAATCAAGATTTTTTTGGTCAGATTTAAATGATTAGAAAGCCCAACACTATGGCTGTCTGTGACGTACTATAAATGGGCCGTAATTATAGTAAACTGTTGGATGATCTTAGATTTAATTTGTATTATGTTTGGAAATATTTAAAACGGTGTTGTTTACATTTTTCTTATCTTTTTTTTATTTCAACTATGAAGAATAACTCATGACTGAAAATGTAAGGAGGCATCAAGCTTGTGGAATTCAATACACTGAAAAGTCTAAAATGCTGCAAAGTAAATAAAGAAGTTTCCATTTTTCATCCTGATTTGTTTTTGTTTTCTCATAGTACAGAGTTTATTTATTCTTAAGCAACAAAAAAAGAAAGGAAAAAAACACTCCAATTGGATAAACTCAGAACCAGCGTCATGTGTTTCAATGTTTTCCTGAGCCAAAACCAGGAGATTCCTGGATAAAAGCTTTTATACCTTTGGAGACCATAATCCTGTCTTTTAAGGCGGTCCTTTTTCATGAGCACATTCCTTCTAGTGGACACAATGAACAGCTCTTTATGGGGTTTGACTGATAACTTATTTATAGGATGATATCTGATATGAATTTACAAGTTATTTATAATTAACTTCACTGACTGTTTAAAGCACAACGTGTTTGCTTCAGCTGCTAATTTAACATTTGTAAAGAACTGCTTTTTTATTGCACAAACTTGATTCATAAATGTACTGATTATAACAATAAAGCTCATTAAAACAAGTATGAATGGTGGTATGAGGTTTTTTTCTTTTTTTTTTATAAATATGTTGCCTCAGCACCTAAGAGTTGGACCTCTTTAAATCTTTATCTCGGCAACACATCTCAGGTTATTGACATTCCAGTCAAATGAGGTGCTTGACCTTTCTCAGGCAACAGAGCAAACTTTAGCTTTATTCGTGAATTTTATATTTCATAATTAGCCTATCTGTGATCCAGGATTTAGAGAATGGATGACTGTGATAGACATTTAACTGGTAAACTTTTTTTTTTTTTTTCCAAGTTAGGTTTGACAATAAGTACCTGAATGTGGAAGTTTATTTTAATGTCCATAAAAAAAAAAGTTATAAAGTATATTTTATTTTAGCCAAAAAGTTATTTTTTTTTTATCATTCAGCATTTTTTTTCAATCCATACTTATTTGCTGTATTTTTCTTTCCTAATTTTTGATTGTTTTTCTTACGCTTCAAAATGTTATTTTTACTTTTTTTTAAAAATAGTTTTTACTGTAAAAAAATATGTATTCTATCAGTTTAACGTATAGAGTTTTCTTCTTAGGGAAAAAGATTTTAGGGAGTCTTGTTTTGTTTTATGTGCTCCTAAAAAAATACTTTGTCTTGGACCAACTATTTAAGTAATAGTTGAGACGGTTTGCAGTAAATTCAACCAGAAGATAAATATTGCCTGGTGCTATGGGTGTTGTACGTTCTGAGAAGTTTCATTTAAAAATTGGGATGAAAGTTAAAGGACTTAAATGAATGGATTCTTCTCGGTCTGATGTGTTTTCTTCTTCTTCTTTTTTTATTTTATTTTATTTTTTAACAAAGCAATAGATTGCAAACTTTATCTTCACATACAAATAAAACACAATTGAGAAGGGCTTGGTATGGGGGTTGTTATATAGGCTTTTTATGGAGGCTTTGACCTATAAATCATCATTATTAATTCCCTAGAGGGGGAACATTTGTCACAACCATCATCACGTATATTCAAATATATATTTATATTGAAAAATATAAAAAGACACAAAGGAGCATTCAAAAGAAAAAAGGCAATATACTTAATTACAAGTGTTAAGAATTAAAGCCCTTTGTATGCCTTTTGTAAAACCCTTTATTTCATTTACTTTATTGAACCGAATAATACTACCTATCTGTCATTTTTGCACTAAGTGGCACAACTGGCTGATTATATTAAATAATGCTCCAATGTTAATGTTCTATTAGTTTATCACTGGAGCTCACTAACTTCAATTGAATTACTTGCTAAGGTAGGCTAGCAACAATTCAGTAGATTTGTTAAGATATCCTGGCTCCAGCTGTTGGAAAAATAAATTATGTGTGGTACTCAGGCATCCATACAACTGCTTTAAATTATCAATATCACCTAATAATTACAATTCTTAAGCTCATACAGGACCAAAATAATCTCACTCTCCTCGCTGATGAAAATTTGGTCAACCCAGCATGTCGATTGTTTGAAACATAATCTGACTATATTTTCTAATTAATAATTATCTCACCACCGTGGGAAATTATAAAGCTTTGATTCTTTATAATAAATGTACTTTCAATGCCCTCTTTATCAGGTTCTCATTTGGCTTAAAACTAGCAGAATGAAAAAACAATTAGCAATCAAAGCAAATATACCGGTAACAGTAAAACAAGTAGGTTCATTAATCAGCAAATAAAAGCAGCATGGGAACCAAAAAGTTCTCTTCCAGCAGTTCTTTGAGGTAGGGAGGGGCATGTCTGTATGTAGATTTGTGTGAGAGGAGGGAGACCTTATAGTCACTACTTTTAAAGAGGGGAGGCCAATTTGTGACTATTGATGAGAGATGGCATAGCCAGAAAGAGTGATGCTGGTTTTAGATGATGACTGGGTCTAATGTAGGGCTGCAGATTAGACTGACTTTGGTTTTGGAGGTATTTAGTTGAGGAAGTTAAGCTACAGCCATTCCTTAATCTCCAGATAGGCAATGGGTGGTGATGGAGATGATGAGGCTCGGTTTGCAGCTGTGGCATTAAGATAAATTTGTGTGTTAATGAGAATCCATAATTGATTAAGTCCTTTACAAATGGAGTGAGGTACAGAGGTATTAGCACAGGACCAGGAACTGTTGGCCTCAGCAGATGACCGCTCACACTGAGCCTCGTTCTACTGGAGGTTTCTTCCTGTTAAAAGGGAGTTTTCCTCTCCACTGTCGCTACAAGCATGCTTGGTGTGAGGAATAGCTTTTGAAAGAGTCGATGCAATCAGCTGGTTTTCTTTAGATAGAAAATGTTGAACTAATCTGACTGTATGATCTCGCTGAATTGTCTCTGTAAAGTGCCTTGAAACGACATGTGTTGTGAATTGCCGCTATGTAAATAAAAATTATTTAACTGAAGGGGTCTGCTCTCGAAAGGTTTAAATGTTCATCCACTACTTTAGAAATCAACGATTTCTTATTTTTTCAAATTTTGTTTTTCACTAACAAGATTATTCCCAAATCTGATATCCTCTTAAGAGCTTAAATGTATTTACTGGATTGGAAATTTAAGATTGTGAAACTATTATTTATCCACACTGACCAAAATAAATGGCCAGTTATGCCTCCTGCTAGGGTCTGATTCTTTCTCTTGATCCAAACCATTATTGCATTAGGTCATGCTATTGTGGTAATCTACATTTTAATCACAATAAAACTTTGCTTGACTGAAAATGGTCCAAAATTATGTCTCCCAACTTCTAACTAATACATGCAAAAATAGATACATACAATAGATTGCTCTTAAATCTAGACCTCAAATTTAATTCTTGGTTTTTTAATATCTTATTCTGTACATGTAAGCATTCACTATCATCAGAGAAAAGATATGTGATAATTTGACCTTTTCTCTGGAAAACTACATATAGAGTTAACAGGAGATACTTAACTGGATACTTAGCTGGATGAGGTGAATGGCCTCAGTGTCACAACAAATGAGAAGTAGTGTGATAGTTTATACATTACCCAAGATTTTACAAGGATCAGCTTGTATATTTTTTTTTTTTTTGCTTTGTCTGCAAAAGTATAGGAATAGTTCAAAAGGTTGAAGTTATTATTTTTATTTATTTTTTTAAGTTTGGCTCCCCTATCACTGATAATATTTAAACAAATGTAATAATTCTGCTTAAGCAATGAATTTAAATTCAATCACTATTGGAAGCTGTCAAGCAAATTTGACACCAGATGATTGGAGGGTGAGAAACACAAGCTGTAAAATGCTAGAAAAAAATTCCTTTATCTCTTTATACTCTATTTTATTTTCATGTAAGGAATCAACACACCCTGTCAAAGTCCAGCCCTTCATTTTAATGCTCTGTCTCACCCGATTCACTAAAACTCTGCCCTTGATGGTTCTCTAATCACTATGACTCAAGACTGTGAATGAATAAGCAGCGGCGACTGCTGTTTAAAACCGTGACCTATAGGCTGTGTGTCTTCACTCCATCACAGTCGGCTGAAGCGTAAAGAGCAGCTGTAGGTGTTTCTGCCTCTTGAGTCCTCTGGCAATGTGAAAGGAGCACCAGCATTTTGCAGTCAAGTTGCAGTCTTTTTGAAAAAGCTTTTAAGAGGAAGACCTGGTCAACATGGATGAAGACTTCAGACGCACCATAGAGCCAGAGTGTTTACTGGAGCCTCCACTGGCTCTGGACATGATCAACCGTAAGTGAGTCTCATTACTACATCCTTGTTGCTGATTGTATTACCCTAAACTCTCAGTTTAAAGTAATGAAATAAAACTTAACTGAACATGGTCCTCTATTACTTCCTGACTTTGATAATTGAATATTTCTCTTGTGTTTTTCCATGACAGGACTAGATGTTTTTGAGTTTGGACTCTATTTCGTGCTCACCTTTATGTCCTGTGTTTCCCTGCTTTTGTTCCTGGAGCAGTGTTTGTTTATTTACAAACACCTGCCTTATCCCAAGAAGACGATCGTCATCTGGATTAGTGGTGTGTCACCAGTAAGTATTCAGGTCTCAGAGGTTGTTAGAAGTTGCTGCTAAGTTTAAACCATATAGAAAACAGATAATGGACACAGCATATTACTTTAACTAACTACAAATACATTTAATGAAAATTACAGATGAACAGTATGGTGTTATTGTACTCTTTGTGTCTCAGATCATCGCCACCATGGCCTGCTTCGGGTTGTGGATTCCTCGTGCGGTGATGATCACAGACATGACGTCAGCATGGTGAGCTTTGGCTTCGTCCTCCTTACCCAACATGTTTTTTTGGGGGGCCAATATGAGTTGTGTTACGGTCAAGTTGGCTTGGGTTCAGTACTGGATTCTTGCATGGGACCATTTTAGGTTGGCTTGGCACATCCCATATCTGCATATGCAGACCGGCACCAGCTTGGTCGTTGCTGTGCTTCAAATGGGTTATAAAAAAGTAGAACATTTAGGACCCATATTGGTTTCACTTTTCTTCCAAATTTTTAATCATCAAATCTATACAAGCAAATCAAAATAGACAGATCTATAACTTTTGCACAAACGCATTTGAAGCTCTCTTTCCAGCCTACTCACAAGGACCCCATCCGTATCTGTGGGGTGGAAGTTAGTATACAGCTGTTTTCTTAGTAATCTCTTCATTTTAATTGAAATTTCAATGCATGACACTGAGATGGGCTGCCCACATTGAATTAAAAGTATAGGACCTGGATTTGTCAGTATTACTTCTGCCTAAGCTTTACTTTAATCCTTTACATAAAGTTAAGAGGAGCCCAGATTTATTAACCAATGCAATCTGTATTTCTTACATAGCAAAGGTTTAGGATTGGCCCCTGTGTTTGTTCTTGAAAACAAGGTGAATGGCCGCAGAGTAATAAATATAAAAGCCACAAAACTTCACCTGGAGTTCATAGTATAATTTTAACTGATTGATGAATCATTACACCCTCAGATCAAAGCTCAACCACATATACAATAGAGAGCTCCCCTCGCTTCTTTTTTTAGACATGATTCTGTTAGAATCCAAGCTGACAGATTTAATAAAAAGAAAACAATATGTTCATCATAAATCTCTAATTAGTTGTTACCCCCCTAATATCCTTTATAATATCTGAATTTAAACACAGATGATTTATTGGCCATTATGACCATGTTGTTAAAGATTATTAATTTCCAAGGCTATTTTTTTTCCAGTTAACTGCAGGGAAATAGTTTTTACATGAGCAGAAGTTGTTTTTTGTTTGCTTCCCTACATAGCTGTTTTAATTAATTTTTGCCTCATTGTTTTCATCCCTTATCTCTGTGTGTTTAAAAAAGGTAATTTAATCAACAATAGAAATGTCGTGAACCTGACTTTAGAGAATGTTTGCTAATGCAGTTAAACAGATGCATGTTTCTCCCATTTTATTTGCATTGAGAGATGGAGATTTGAACTCAGCTGAGGTTTGGACAACTGTTTTTTTTTTTTTTTTTTTTTTTTTTTTTAACAAATAAATGAAAATAGTTCCATTATATATTTTTACTTGTTGGAGATTTAATCCGTGTTATAAGTTATGCATTAATTTCTTTTTTTCCATTTTCAGTTATTTTTCAGTTGTGGTGTACAAGATTTTGGGTTTGCTGATTGAGGAGTTTGGAGGCTCCACTCCTTTTCTAAAAATATTTGCTGGTAAAAACTTCAAGATCAGTGTAGGACCCTGCTGCTGCTGCTGCCCCTGTTTACCTCTCGTACCGATGTCACGGTACGCTTTTCTATTTGAGTTCTTCTCCCTTTTATTTGTCCCATGTTCTTTATTGATTTAAGTATTTTTATTAAGTTATGTTTCCATCATTTCATTTTATGATATCCATGTTCCTACTGCTGACAGTAATATGCTGTTTCTTTCTACTGCATTTGTTTAGAAAGATGTTATTCCTGCTGAAGTTGGGATCTCTACAGTATGCAATCCTAAAACCAGTTTTCTCTATCATTTCTGTAATTCTCTGGAGAAATGCCATCTATGATCCCACAAATGTAAGAGCTTAAATTACATCTTTTAATCCTTTTGTTAAGAATAAAAAAATGTAAGATGTCTTTGTGTTGTTTTTTTTTTTTAGCTAGGGATCAGAAGTGCAACCCTTTGGATCAACCTGTCTGTTGGTGTTCTCACCGTAATTTCCCTTTGGCCAGTCGGCATCGTCTTCATGAACCTTAACATCCTTTTACGCAGCGTGAAAATTATTCCCAAGTATGCAATGTACCAAGTAAGTCAACTTTATTTTTTTGTTGTTGTTTTTTTGCTTAATAAAGAAATTAGGCTCCAATACTACATGTAACTGTAAAATGAAAAAATAAAGCAATGTTAAATAAGGAGATACCTTTTTAGGGATACTTTTCCCTGAGGTTTTTGCCAGCTTGCCAAATAGCTCAAAATCAATCAGTCAGAGGAAAAAAAATAAAAGTATATCTGTGGGGATAAAGCTGTAGAATTTACCACATTTTTAATACTTACTGTAATAGATTTATATTTGGATTTGATTTAGTCATTTTAATTCATGAATTTTATTTGGTTTAGACCAGGTGTTCCCAAAGCAGGGGTCAGGACCCCCTGGGGGATTATTAGACATCAACTGGGGAGATGTAAGACGTTTTTATAATGATTGTGATGTGAGGTATATGGAGGGCAAACATATGAAAGACATTAAAGTAAATATCTCATAAAAATGAACACATCTAACATCAATGGTGGGTAATAACTAGTTACATTTACTCAGTTAAACTTAATTAAATACATTTCTGACAAAAATGTACATTTAGGAGTAATTTCATTGCACCATACTTTTTACTTTACTTTAATATAGAAAATTAAAGTTTGATTAAAATTAGCTTTCTTATTTGTAGAAAATTGTTGCGTTTTACCTGTTTACTTAGACCCGTATGACATTAAATTAAGGTAATGTATGTTATATATTTAATAGATACTGTAAGTAAATAGCTTTGTATGTATGCTAAAGAACTAAAAAAAAAACTATATACTAACAAAAGGGACTTGAATAAGTCTTTCTTCTGTCTGAGTTTTTATTCGTTGTATTAAATATCATATTATAGTCTTTGAAAAAAGAAATGTCCACATTTATTTACAGTCAGTCTCGTTAAATCATTTTGAAAGGTAAACAGATAGTCAGAATTTGAGTAGCCTTTTCCTAAAGAACTTTTTAACTGATACTTGATTAATTTATTGGACAGCTAAATAATACTTTTACTCAAGTAGAAATATGTTGAAGTAGTGCTACCTTTACTTGAGTACAATGTACTCACCTCTGTGCATCATTAAAGAGGTATATGTAACCCTTATTTATTTATTTTTATACATTATAAATGATCAAAAATATCAATAAATTGGGCATATTTACAAATAAATGATTAAATGTCCAATTAAATATTAAAAATCCATTAATAATGATAAAAATAGAATTGAACATAATTACTACTCTTTAACTAATACAGAACAAAGTAATTATATGTATAATTGTGGGGGTTACAGGCTGGATGTTTGGGAATCCCTGATCAGGACCATTCTCTTGCAGTATTTTAAGGGTTTCTCTGATTCTTGGCAGTAAATCCCCTTCCAAGGCCTAAACCTTTTGTAATCTCTAACAATTTTACTGCCATGGTTACTCTGTGTTTAAATCAATTTATTTATTATTATTCCCTCCAACTATAACTAAATCCCATGTAACTTTAAACATCCCTAAAACATTATACTACCACTTGTATAATAAGTGTCCTATGTATTGTTATTATTGGGGACAAAAATAGATTTTGATCTCATCCATCCAAAGCACCATCATCCAATTTTTCACTCATTGTAATGTGTCAAAATGTGGAAGAGAGGTTCTGCATGTTAAAGTACTGGCTTTGAGGCATGCTTAATGTGAGGGATTGCCTTCGAGTCAATGAGTCGATGCAATCCGCTGGTTTTCCATGGATAGAAAAGTTTGAACAGATCTGACTGGATGATCTGGTTGAATTGTCTCTGTAAAGTGTCTTGAGATGACTTTTGTTGGGAATTGGCGCTATAGGCATAAACTGAATTGAATTGAAAAGCTACAGCACTGCAAACATTTTCCCTCCACATGCATGCTTATAATGAGGATTTATCTATTTGCTTTTCAGCTCACATTTGTGCTGACCCAGCTGCAGACATCAATCATCAACATCCTGGCTGCAAACGGATGCATCGCCTGCTCCCCTCCTCTCTCCTCTCAGTACCGCGGATTTAGTAAGAAACAACTCTGAATACTTTTTAGCCACTTCAGCTGAAATATTACAACTCATATCATGTCTTCTTTTCTCTCTGTCTATTTTGTGGGTATCTGCAGTGTTAAGTCAGAAGATGCTGATCATGGAGATGTTCATCATAAGCCTTTTCACCCGGTATTTATACCGTCGCTTGTACGATCCAGTTGAAATTGAGGAGCAAGAGATTGTGCTGAACCACAAGGCAATCGTGCAGGCTCCTCTGGAGGAGCATGATGTTTAAAGAAGACCAGGAATGTCAACGCTTTCAACTAACATATTTTGGAACTGTATAACTTATGGAATATGTCATATTTACCCTTAGCATCTTGTTAAAGAATTGAGTGCATATTATTTATTGAGGTGTCATTTTTAAAGAATCATTTTTGTATTTTCAAAATTTTTCTGCATTGATGTAATTAAGATTTTTTTGCACATCAGTTGAACTGGTTGTCTTGAAAACTAAAATACAAAAAAAAAAGAAAAAAGTGAACACTATTCAACTGTTGGTCATTTGGAGAAAAACAAAAGGTTGCTGTAGTTTATTTTAACTTATTAGAAACAAAGCAATATATAAAAAAAGACATTTGTCTGTCTAATGTTAGTGACAGACTTTACGATTAGAGATTTTAAGTAGGCTCTGTTAGACATATGTTTAAGATTGAAATGGACTAATTTAATTTAATAGATTATAAAAGACAAGACCAAAATGACAAACAGTGAAATAAGCTTTTTATTTAGTTACTTTGAAGCTGTGAATCAAGAACCAACCTCAGCATCATTATAAAGCTATATATTCTTACAATGCAACACAGATGAAAACTTCCATAGTGTGCAACTGACTTACCGGTATGTCCCTCTGATTTATTTTTAAAGTCTACAGCTTCAATTATATCAGCTTTCTTTGCAGGGCAGCATTTAAAGGCCTTTAAATTATATGCAACATTGGAAGTGCATCAAAGCACCTATGCCTTCTGCATCTTACCAGATGCAGAAGGGACAAAATAATCATTTATAAAGTTGATTCAGTTTTGTAATTCAATTAAAAAGTAGGTTTCGTGTAGAATCATAACAGAGCAATGCATTCAGTTGTTTTTTTTTCTTTCTGTTTTTTGCTTCCTAGTTTTGTGGCAAAAGTAGTAGCCCATGTTTTAAATATGTCTCTTTGTTGTGGCTTCCAAAGACCTGACTTAAGACAGTATACATCCTGTATATCTGGATGTAACTCTTGTATGCTATCTTCTCAATCATTGCCTGTGCAGCTATTTCTACCATGTTATTCCTTTCTTCTAATTTTCTCTTATTATGCTTTGGTACAGCACTCAGCACGCTCCTGAATACAACACTCCAGCTTCTAAAGCAATGGCCTTTTATGACTTGCTTTCTATGAGAATGATGTAATGGACTATTAAGTCAGCAATATTCCCTCACACTAAAGGCCATAAAGAAATATTTGCATATGATAAAATAAGTATTTTTATTGGTGTTATGTAATATTTATATTTTCTGAGGAAGTGAATTTTGGATTTTCATTAACAGCAATCCATGCTCTCCAAAATTAAGAGAAATGTTTGAAGCGAATCATTGTGTCTGTGATGAGGATATATTTAATATACCTAATGCCTCATAAAGCATGTGTGTCACATTTTGAAATCAAGTAACTCAAGCATATACAGTATGAATTTTGACCCACTTACACAGGCTCATTCTGGCAGAAAGTGGATGAGAAAGCAGCTTCATTTTTGGCCCTCTTTTTTCCCTTTCCTTTTTATTACGGCCGTGTGTTGTTCCTAACATAACCACAAGAGGTCGCACGAGAGTGACCTCAAAATCTTTTTCAAATCTAGTTCAAAGCATTTTTAAATATACTAATAATTTCTTCATTTATTTTGTTTGCCATTATGTGACTTAAAAGTTGCATAAAATTCTAGTTGCTTTGTAATATTTGATGTATTGCTCTTTGAAATGTCAGAAACCTACTATAGTTTGTAACATTTTTTTTAGGATTTCAATTATTTAGTCTAGAGTTATGCTTTTATTGAAGTAACATAAACAAAAAATTAACTTACAAGAAATTTCCTGTAGGTAAACATGCAAAATGACCCCCCCAACATTGTAAACTATGCAGCTCACAAATACATTTACAATATACTGTATACATTTTATAGAATTTCCCTTTTTTTCTGATTTGATGAAGGTAAAAATAAATGTATGTTGCTACTGAAAGTCCCTTCAGCTTATTTGCAATAATTTGCATCAAATTATTTTATTTTTAGTCAGGTTATTTAGAAGTCTGATTTTGAATCTATTAATGGAGCGTTTGTTTTTCCTGTTTATGTAAACACAGTCATCAGACAGAAAAAAAAAGAAAGCTGTGTTTCAGAGCTAGCTGATGACAGCCTCTGGCTCTGCATTGGTGACGAAAGCTGCTGAGCTCCTCAGTTGCCATGGCAGCCAGGGAGAGGAGCCAGACCAAAAAAAAAAAAAAAAAAAAGAGCAAGGCAAAGGGGCGGTGCTTTGGCGGGAGAAACAGAGGAGAAAGGGTTGGATGGGAACCACAGAGGGAGGGAGGGATACAGGAGACTGATAAAGAAACGCAGTGTGAGCAGCAGAGTGCAAGGCTACAGACGGAGATAAAGCCCTGGATATAAATGCTCCATCACAAGGTTTGGAATAATAACTGAGCAAGTGACAAAGGACTTAGATATAGGTGGCGGGAATCACAGAGAGGATGGATGTACAGACAGAAAACATGGACCCTCCTCCTAATGAATCACAGCCAACTGGAAAAATCAGAAAAGGATTCAAGCTGTTTGGAAAACGTAAACCAGGTAACATTTTTTCCATCAGAAAAAAAGGCGACGGAAACAACAAGTCATCTGTCAGCCGGAGTAAAACATCTGAGGGATTATCTGAGACTTCAACGCAGGATTCAGAGCAGGAGCAAGATAAGGAAAATGGAAAAGAGGTGAAACAAGAAGATGGGGAGCAGCCAGAGGACGAAGCACTCGGTGAAGATGATGCTCTGGCAACGGCTCCTGCCCGCACCTCCATCTCTTCAGCCAGCTCAGCCAAGTCCCTCAGCTTCCTCTCACTGTTGAGGGGTGGAAGAAGGGCAGTGGGGGACCGCAGAGCCCAAACAGTGACCCAGCCTCCGGCTCGGCAGCGTCGTGGCCTCAAGGGCCTTTTCAGCAACGTCAAGCTCCGATCAAGGGATAAGGAAGACAAAGAGGAAGCCCCTCCGAGCCCTCTTCTCCAGTCATCCCGCACTAACAGTGTGGAAATCATCAAAGATGACATGACACTCACACCCAAATGCCAGCCTCGCACGCTGGACAGCTCTGAAACCGAGAGTACAGAGCCTGTCCAGAGCTCTACTACTCAAGAAAGTTCAGCCATGACCGCGTCAAAGACCCCGGCTCCACAGGTGAAATCTGCAGAGACTGTGAGTCCTACAAAAGAGCATGTGTCCCCTTTGCTTACCCCAGAACCCCCGCTGGTACCTGGTGATAACAGCCTTAGCTCACTGCTGGCAGATATCTCCTCTCTCCTGACATTTGACTCAATCTCAGGGGGTGGAGACATCATGGCTGATGTGGAAGCAGAGTGGGGTAAAGTTAGCAGTGCTCTAAATGCTAATGTTCCTGTATCATCCACGTCTCCGTTCTCCAAACCTACCCTCTCCTCCTCTACCACAACCTCCTCAACAGTCAGCTCCACTGCTACAGTTAAACCCTCTTCTGTAGCTGTCTCATCTTCATCTTTCACTTTGACTTCTCATCCTGTCAAACTGAGTTCAGACTCTATTCCTGCCACCATGCAAGGTAAACAAACTCCTGCTCCTTCTTTAACGAAACCCTCAACAGCTCCATCGTCATCAGCTACATCTTCCATCTCCAAGACAATTCAGTCCACTCCAAGCTCCACCACAACCACACCCCCTGCAAATGCATCTGCAACTGTGGAAAAAGTTTCTTCATTCAGTCCGACTTTGACCTCTACCGCTAACTACATGGCTACAGAGATCGCTCCAAATAAAGCACCTGTAAGTAAACCTGATCGTACATCTATTTCACCTGCTGTATCATCTAAACCTGTAGCCGAAACCTACAGTCCTCCCATCCCCATCACCCAGCCTCCCACTAATAGTAGTTTTAACCTGGAAAAGTCAACTTACATTAAATCTCAAAGTTCAGCAGTGGGAGAATCCAAAGATTCCCTAGCATCATCAGTACCCTCTACGAATAAAACCACATCCCCACATTTCGCCCCAGTCATTTCCTCAAAGATCACGTCCTTCACCGCATCAACCACAACTTCTGGTTCAGCATCAGTGGCCCCTTCCAAGCCCACCCTAACCCCTAACCATCTGGACCTTAACAAAACAGTTTCTGACCCCGGCCCTTATTCAACCTCCAATGCTGCAATTAAAACCCAAGTCAGCCCTGCATCTGTTCCGTCTCCGTCTTCAGCTTCATTAGATAAAATTCCACCCACAACTAAACCCACTGCAATATCAGTAGCTTTAGATAAGATGCCCGCCGTACAGCGCACAGAAACAGCTCCCCTCACTCACGTTGCTCCAACATCATCGGCGACTGCATCTGCTCCGGATCAGATAAAAGTTTCTCCTGCTAACATACCAATTCCTGCATCAAAAGAACCTCCCTCTCCAACTCCAATTGATATCTGTCAATCTAAAATCTGCCCTGCCCCTCTTAAAGTCCCAGTTTCCGTATCTAAGGATCAATCTGTTCCAGTTAAAATGCAGGAATCTTCCTCTAAATGCTCTACCTTCCCTGTTGAGATCCCAAACTCTCTATCTAAAGAACTCTCTACTCATGTTAAAATGCAGGAGTCTTCATCTAAAGTTCTTACTTCCCCTGCTGAAATCCCAGTTTCCGTATCTAAAACTCCTCCAGCACCTGCCCAGACCACATTTTCTGGATCCAAAACCCCAGTGGCATCATCCATAGATAGCCCCCACCCTGAATCTCTCCCAGTTTCTCCACCTGCCCCAGTTTCCCAACCGAAAACTCCAGAACCACAAACTGCTTCTGCTCCACCTGTTTCTTGGCAGATAGATGCACCATCCTCTGCTAATGTTAGGGGTTCTGTGCAGGCATCGCCAGATAGTCCGGATGGAGCAGGTGAACAGGTGATCCAAGGGCTGCCGTCCAAAACAAAAGAACAACTGCCCCCCAAAGAAAAGAAGACATCACAATCAAAAGCAACGGGTCTCAGTAAAATACCAGTGGTTGGTGGAGGAAGAGTCAGCAGACAGCCCGTCCGGGAAGCTCACCATTACGAACCGAGCAAGGACCCCACTTCGCCAGTTGTAGAAGAAAAACACGGTTTTAACTCACATAGTGCAGCTGGCAGAGAGAAAATGGTCTCACCTGAGGCAAATGCTCCGGCCTCAAAACATCACCCGGTGGAGCATCAGCAGCCTCAACAGTCAAAGGTTGTCACAAGTTCAGCGCGTGACTCAAAGATCCCTCTGAAGCACGACACCCAGTTCCACGCTGCATCACAGGTCTCCCAGACTAAAGAACCCCCCCGTACAAAGATCCCCGTGTCCAAAGTGCCCGTCCGCAGAGCCGCTAATAAACCTGCCACTACTGGCAGCAGCATGCAGATAAGGAAGTAAAAAATAAAACTGGACTAAAGCAGTTGCTAATGTAAACTGTCATTCTTTAAAACCCATTTCAATGCTGTAACTTTCTCTCTTTACTTTAATACACCAAGGAGAAACATAGAAATGAGCCAGGCAGCATTCAAGCACAAATCAACATCTCTATGGGGAGCTGGAGCAAGAGTCCCTATCTTTGGTGCTTCACTAGTCAGGCGTGCACTCAGGAAAGGTTCAAAGGTCACACCTGAATATTTGGATGAGGAAACAAACAGGGCGAGTGCCTTGTCAAAGGTGCTTTTCCTACAGACTCAGATTTTCTTCAGTCTTTTCTACACTGGTTTAACTTTTGTTATTTCCACTTTTTGTAGTAACCTCCTGAAACTTAGTTTTTTTTGGTAGGGGGTCGGGGGCGTTCTCCTTCAAGCTTCCGTCCTTTTTGTCTTTTTCTATTTTTGGCAGATCAGCATAAAACGAATGCAACAATGAAATTTACATTCCACACCTCTCTATGGATCTATGTAGCAGAAAACGTGCCATCCGTTTTGCACAAGACATTGGACTGTACAGCCTGCCTGCTTATATGTAACGTTATAAGTTCTCATCATGAACTGTTTGTTGTTGTCGAGGAGTGGAAATCGCTCTTTCAGTGGAACGGACAGAGGCCATTATGAATGGCCATTGTGGACGTTTGAGCGAGACAAGGGGGAGTGATGAGATTAGCTCTCCGGCTCATACACTGGCACATGTCTACTTTAAACTCAGTTATGCTCAAATGAGAACAATATCTCAGTGTAGAGAAGCATATGTGTTGTTCTGTTTCTTATTTAATCAATAAAAAAAAACATGAGTGCCTAGATGGAGTGATCAGTTCCATCATGTCCTTAATGCTGCTTCAAAGCAAAACAGGAGTAAGCCCATCTTCCTGCCTCTGTATTGCTCTCTTGGATTACCCCCAAAGGAGCATCGCTCCAACATCATTCACACTCCAAGCTCACTGACCTGAATAGCGAGCCTCTGAATGTCAGCTGGGATCAGCCAATCAGCAGCGAGGGAAAAGCACTTAACATGCATACCATATTATCAGTAAAAAGGCTTGGGAATGTGTGTCACTGCTATTCTTAGAGGAAATGAATTTGCTGAATAACTCTTCTGCTTTATATGAGATTTTAATGTCTTTACAACTGAGATAAAACAAGTAATTATTCAAAAAATACCCCCCAAAACAAGTATTAGATAACTAATTTTTTTATTTTTTTGGTTCAGATTGTCAGTGGTATCTGATCTGGGAATTATGCAAAACCCAAAGAGAGCATGCTCTAGGTGCAAGACAGAGAGGAAGAGGGCTTCACTACTTGTTTTGGTTCTAACTACTATTAGTAATAGAATCAGATGATTTTATTCTTTTTCTAGTGTTTTGCATCTAATCACTAAATGTTAAAAAATTGATGGTTGCATTATTGTAGCTTTTATAGAATAATATAAACCATCAGAAGTAGTTGTAAATACTTTTTATCTGTCGCCTTCTTTGCATTTTTTTTATCAGTTACACTGACAATAAGGCTTACTTGTTAAATTCTGACTTTCAATTCCACCTTAGCTATATCTTCAATTATAGAAATCAGCTTTTTAAGTAAAACCAGATTTCCCAGCAAATCTCTATTAACCCAGGTAAAACACAGTTTCCCTCAAAGAGGTCGAGAACAACATAAATTGCTCTCACCCTAAAAAAAAAAAAAACACTTCATGCAAACTATACTTTTTGAATTTCTAAAACTTCTTTGTGTTTACATTAGAGTTGTGATGTAGTACGTTATTTGCAAGGGAAATCGGGTAGAGGTGAAGTAAACTTCAAACAGTATCCTGGTCCAAATAACTGGCTGATAAAACCAGTTGTATGTAATATCTAAAATACTATAAAAGCTAAATTGAATTCTTGTAGATGATAGCTTCTTCTGTTTTATTCTAACCTGTTTCAAAGAAAGAGACTCTCCTTTTACTTTCATTGTAAATATTTAAAGACTTCCTTGTAAATATCCACTGATAGACACAGCAAACAGGGAATGAAATGATAACGTAGTGTTAGAATTTATGGTTTTGGAGATCAGAATTTTTTAAGACTGTAGAGATATGCTATGGTCTTGGCTTGCAAAAAACTAATTTGGATTTGTACAATATAAAGGTAGCAAACATGTTCTCTCCTAGAGGTAAGATACTAACCTTTTGCATTATCTTTTTAAAGATAAGAGCTCATCTTAGTCATGAGGTGATGTTTGGAAACACTTGATTTTTAAAAAAGATTTAAAAAAACAAAGGTTAAATGTTTCATTGGTTTACAAAAGGACTGTTATTATATTCATAAAGCCAAAGGCTCTATGCTGAGAATAGAAGAGCCACCACCGGCACTGGAAGAACACGAGGACTTCTCCACATTAGGCACAGATACAGGCTGAGAAAAAGAACAGTTTTACCTCCAGGCTCTGCTGCAACATGTCCCACAGTTTTTAGGTAACACCTGTACTGCAGGATTAAAGGGTTTTGACAGCAGCTGAAACCGATGACAGATGTGTGATAATTCATGTGTTTTGCACAGGAATTTGGAAGACTAATAAGGACTTACATGGTGAGACATCGTGGTGAATTATATCATGAATTTTACTACTGCAAATATGACCACGGCAGAAAAAGCAGTCCGTGAATGCTGTCCGTTGTTAAGATAAGTTCACATGATTCTGCAGTAATGTGGCCTTCATGCCTTTAAGTGATAACCTAGCAGCGTTAGTGCAGAACCACCACAGATCATGCACACACAAAGTTTTATGCTTCACTTAGTTTATAGGATTTTGTTACACCACATCATCTATGTCCTACATATGTTATACAAATTCAAGCACTGATCAATGCTCAGGGAAAGCGTACAGTTTTATGGTCTGGATGTATTTGTGTCTGTTTCCATCACTGCAGGGTCTATGTGTTTCTTAAGGACTTAATTTAGCATGATTCAGTCTGTGTTTCTATGCCAACCCCACTAGGTCAACCAATTGGACGGCTGCACATATTGGAAGGAGGAGTTCTAAACAACAGTGCTTTAATAAGCAAACAGAGACAGACACACACACAAACAAACACTGTCGACTTACAGTAACGTATTTATTTTATTTGAATATTGCAGAAAAAAAAAAATATATACATTCATTTGTGCATGTATGTTTACATACCCTTCCTTTAAAGACAGAAAAAAATCAGCTGCCTTTAAAAAAAAAACGTAAATAACAAAAGTAATATTAAAGAAATATGATGACAAAGGAAATCATGACATTGATTTGGCGATCACTTAAATCAGGTGTAATGTTCAGGAAATGTTCAGTCAGACTTCTGAACCCGTGTTTGTTCACTGTTCATGACTAGTTTAAGTAGCTTAATTTGTCTAAGGGTTTTTTTTATTCAATTTTATTCAACATAAAATCAAAATCAATATTTTCTTGTGCTAAATTATCATTTAGAACATTTTTATTTATCATTACTTTTCTATTTTGTGAGCAACTAGTGTGAATTTTTAATTTTCTTTAATGGGAGGGTATGTACATTTTCAACTTTCTTCTCCTTTCTACAATAAGTTATTTATTATACCTTTGTTCAAATGCAGCACAACTAACAGAATACCTATAGTTCATTTTCGCTTTTTCAGTTTAAAATTTATTCAGTTTATTTAATTTGTCATTTAAATACAACTATTTTTATCATGTTGGGAAACTGTATCTTTTACATTTTTTTCCTAATTTATTTTGTGTTTTTTTTTTTTTTTTTTGGTCTGATCTGTCGTCCAATCTCTGTTTCATAACAAAATAAGACAGTGATTGTGAGTTAAAGTCTTTAAAGGAGTACTTGATGGAGATGCATCTAACTCTATTAGAGTATTGATTCCTACATTAAACATCCTGTCAGTGCTATTTCCGACAGGAAACATTAGCATCCTCAGGCACATGTTTCGGTTTAGTGAAAAAGAGGAGTTTAGTTTTTTGTGAAAATATACTTTGATCTTTTTTATAGCACAAACATAATAAAAAATCTGACATTCTAAACTTTTGAGGTCAGAAGTATTTATTCATAACATAAGTTGAGTATAAAACTTGGAATATTCCATCAACTACAATGCTAATGTGTTTATATACAAAATACAAAACAATAGAAGTATTAAAAATATATAAATGCTATATATTTTATTTTCAAGGCTTGGATAACAATGAGATGTTTAAGTGACAGCGATGATAGAGGAAACAAGTCATCTGTGACAGTCTCAGCTCATCTCTCTGCAGGAGTTAATTAACACTTAAACAGCGCAGGGTAAACTAAGCCTGCATTCTGCACATTGTCTTACTAATGAATATACAAAACAATGCATTAAAGAGCCTAAAAGCTAATTTAGAGCTTTGCATACACCTGCATATGACTGCTTATATGTAGTATAAAGAATACTAATCATATGGCATATACTCCTGCAGAAAATGCTCGTTAATATAAATCAGCTTAAGCTTACCAGGCAGAGCATTACGTCACTCTAGTGCAATAGCTCTGCAATGAGGACCTCTGCTGGAGGAAAATGCTGAAATGCGTTAGTTTTAAGAACAGATGGGTGACGCAGGAACATCCAGCATCACCGTTGCACAACATGGCCTCATCATGTGAGGCCTGCAGCCTCCACGGCAGACAGAGGGAGCTAGCTGAACAGTATAAAATTAAGCACAACTGTGATTTTAGAAGTTCCAATGCCTTATTTAGTTCTTGCAAATGATTCCTAAACATCTTCTCTTCATTACTCCAGCATTTGTGGTAATGAAGGAGGTGCAAAAGAAGAACAATGGTGGACATTCAATCCTGTCATAAGGTAAGCAGACAAGGTCAGCTTATGTTGGTCATCAGAAAGCAGCGGCTGAAAGGAGTAAAAGAGACTGAACCATAAATCTGACCTAAATAAAAGGTGCATTTTTGTCACCACAGACAGTACAGAGAGATAAAAAAAAAGCTCTCATCCTGACATTCTAATAAGACACCCATGATGATTCTGTTTGTGGTATAGAAACGCTTAAAAGTACCATCAGAAGAAGAAAAGTGCCGTGTCGTGCAAAAATCTTTGTTGGCCCCTTATTTCCTTATAAACAATACATTAGAAAAGGTTCATGTCTTGGACTTTTTGTATAAATAATTGCAACCAGAAGTTTTGATGTTTGTGATGAGAATTTGCTGTTTCAAACCAAACATATATCAGCTAACTGTCAAGTAGAAGAAAAAAGAACTGCTTTTCCAACCGTCCTACAACCTAAAATCCTTAAAATCTGTTCTGCATTTATATTCAGCCTGATTTACTCTTAGAAAATGCGATGCAACCACTTGAATTCAGATTAATCTAATGTTTATGAGATTCTCTTGCTGTCAATTTATTCTGGTACAATTCAGCTGCTTGGTGACGGACGATTCTGTTTGAGAAAAGGAGTGACGGAATAGCACCACAGAGAAATATGATGACATTAGCATCTCACTCGAAAGGTGAAGGACAAGAAAAAAGGTCAGATCTGATATGAAGGTAGAGCGAAATTCAAAGCATTTCTTAGGGACCTGAAAACTTGAAACTAAAGTAAAGGTTAACCTTCCAGCAGGAAAATATTACAAACATTTAGCCAGAGCAAAAATGGAATAGCTTAGATGAAAATATTTTTATTTGTTTGAATGGCCTAATCAAAGTTCAGACCTAAAGAAATCCATCCAACCAAACCAAGTCTCTGACCAAGGACAAAAAATATGTTGGAAACTACTGGATACAGCCACTTTTCAATCTATTTTACTTTAGAAAAAAATACATTT